ATCAAACGCTAATAAATTCAATTATGTTTTGAAACAAGATGTTTTGAATCATTATTCTATGTCTTGTATTAATTGTTGTGGATGGAAGATTATTGAACACAATTTCAAACCTTCTATTCCTCTCCAACACACATCACACATCCACAACAATTGTATCAGAAAAAATTCAGATTTAAAATCTTTTCATTTACAATTTAAATAAGGCCTTACAAGGAATAGAGGAAGATCAAATGCTGTATAGTCAAAGTAAGATCATTCTGAATATTAATCAGATTAGTATCAACTTATTAATCAACTGTTGAAGTCTTTCATCTGGTAGAGTGCTGAAGGGATGCTAGCTACTCTGCAATGCCAAGAGACCATGCAGTTAGTCCATTGTAACAGGATTGCAACAGATATGTATAGACCAGAATTTGTCCTGATCTCCAATTTTACCATCATAATAATAAAAGTAAGTATTTCTCTGGAGTGGGGAGTAATTGTTCAGCAATGTCCAACTGTTGTGAAATCCCCCACACATAACAATTCATTTGCCTTATAGATTCATCCTCAGTGTTCTGAAGTACTTGAAGCCATTATAGAGATATGCATTAACTCAATAAATCTGAAAAATAAAATAAACATTGATCATATACAGTGCTGTGCAAAAGTAAGTGAACTCCTTACATAATATTTTTTAAAAATTGTCCCTTTTTTTCCAGATGATCAAATCTTAATTAAACTATACATTCATTAAGAAAAACATTTATTAAATGAATTACAATTACTTTCAAAGATTTTTATCAAGCTGGAATAAAAATACTAATTCAAAATTAAGATGTGTGGTGGACTCTCCCGTTCTATTCAACGTATGAGGGTCAACCGACAACCCAGACACCAGCACATATTTGATTATAATGGTGAAGGTTTTGTGCAGAACCAACCACACTTTTTGAAGGGCTGAATACAGAGACCTGGTGTCACAAGGTTCCCAAATGACCCTCCACAGGTTTTGAATTCAGAGTTGTCCTTCTAGACCAGTTGTCATCCAAGGCCATAAAACCCAGTTTGTCCTGCTATTTACTCATAGCTGGGGGGGGGGGAAGAAGAGGATTCATACCTTTCCCAAGGGTATTAGCACATAAGTGAATATAACGGATTCAACTAGAATTCGAACTCGGCTCTCCGATTTCTCAATCTTAGCCGCTATCCACTACTCCACCGTACCTCCTAAGATTTTTTTTTTTTATTAGAAATAACAAACTTCCTAAAATTTCAAATATTTTAAAAAGAATACAATGTCCTAAATAGGGCACATCTAGGAGCATCAAATTCATGTATATGTATACATTTACATTCATATATATGTCTAAAACCAGAGGTGATGAGTGAAATCAGCACCCCGAAAATTAGGTTAAAAGAACATTAACTATTTTTATGCTTAAAACGTGCAAAAAATCTGATGTCTCTAATGTGAAGAAGACATCCAAAATGTTTCCCCTCCTCAAAAGGCGCTAGATTTTAATTCTAGCTGCGTTTCCAAACTGTACCAAATAAGTTCTTTTCAAAGTGTTTTTGTATACTACAATTCACCCAATACAAAGCTCAAGAGCCACTCAAGCTTGAAGGTTAGAGTAAAAATGATTGTGATGAACAAGGTGTGTGATATGAATGAAAGAGAAGGTGGAAGGAAGTGAATGTTATGAGGATAAGAAGGATAGATAATAGTTGACCCTTGACTTGAAGAGATTAAGTTTGTAGTGTTTAGATAGATAAGGACAATGGATTCTAATAATTTTTGCTAACTGCATCTGTAGAAATTCCACAGAGTTTTTATAAATTAAATTACAAACGTAAGTACCAATTACTCACCGTCAAGATTAATTGACATCAGAAATAAATTACTTTTGCAAGCTTTTTGATATTTAAATTACCCATGTAAAAATGCTTTTGATAAGAAGTTCTTAAACACCAAGTGAAAGAAAAATATTCTAAGTAATCTTATATTTTATTAAATTTTAGATGTTTTGGCTTCCTAAGACGCTTGTTAAGGAGATGTTAGAAAATTGCCAATAAATTTTAAATTTACAATAGGTATTGCTCTTATTTTCTGATAATGTCGCTTTTGGACATCCATATTTACAAACCTTGGCACATTTATACACACAAAAAAAAAAAAAAAAATTCATTTTAAAATACCGGGGGCTGCTTAATTAGAGTAAACTATTCTATTTATGATTAGTAAATGCTAGACACTACCCCCATGACCCCCCGTTGGGTCACTGACGGCTCAGGTTATAAAATATTGAAGTTGATTTCAACATTCCATTGAAATGAAGGTTAAATTTATTATGATTCAGTTAAATAATTCAATTCATTCATTCCATCATTGGCCTGATTTACAAGTTTATATCTAACGTTTTACTGTTTACAGCATTTAATAGTAATATAACTTCTGGTATAAACTTTTCATTTTAATTTTTTAAATATGCCAAAAGATATTTTTTAAATATTTAAAACATTGTTTGCTTAAAGAAAGCTGAAATAAAAGTAATTACTCTACAAGTGTGATCTCTATGTTTAATTTTTAAAAATTGTCTGTTTGAAAAAAGTTAAAATAAAAATACAAACAACTCATATTTTTTAAATCTTATTCAAGCACACACGAATACAGGAGTGTTTCTCTCCCAGCCCGTTTCTACAGTAATCAAAAAGGGTTAAAATTAATCCACCTCCTTTCTTTAACGAAATTGCACAAAGTATTTTTCTTGTTTTGTTGATCATCGTTCATATACAAGAGGCATTCAATTTTTTGCCACAAGAATTGTATTATTATATGTATTGTTGATGTTATATATATATATACTAGCAGTAGAGCCCGGCGTTGCCTGGGGATGTAACAGTAAGAGATAGATCAAGTATCGACCATCATAAAGACTGAAAAATAAGATTATTGTTTAAGGTTGACGGACACGCATATCTTAATTAGTTTTTTTGTTTTGTTTTGTTTTGTGTTTTTTTACAAATTGGTCAAACCCAAACTCAAACAAAAACATTGTTTTCAATCGTTATGAGTCTATCGATTGAATAGAATTTTATTATAAACAATTGTCTTGTAAATGGAATTTTTAAAGCATTCTGAATGTAAAAATAAAGAAAAAAGTGTGCAAAACAATAAGAAACACTACCTGCCAAAAAAAAGTGAAGCTATGTTGAAATCGGTTGAAAAATGTAAGAAATCCGATCCCATATATAAAGGAACACGCACACACAACCTGGGTTTTATAAGTATAACTTGATATGAGTTGTCCCCCTTTCATTCTGGCGACAGAATCGTGTTTTATCATGTTTTCAAATTGATTTCGTGCAAAAACAATTGTGTTTTTCTAATTTTTGGCACTGTCACAACCACCACAAGGTAATTTTACGCAGTCCTGTGAAGTTCTGTTGAAATCGGTTGAAAAATGTAGGAAATCCGATCCAATATATAAACCTACAGACACACACACACACACAATCTGCGTTTTATAATAAGTAAGATATATATATATATAAAAGTGAACATAGAAGTCAACACTTAGGGGCTGCAGTCTGTTTCATGCTAGATGCAATCGTCAGGACTGTTGCCTCTAAGTGTTGACTTCTATGTTCACTTTTATATTTACACACGCTCTATCTCTGATATTGAGCACTTTATCCCATAAATATAGCACATCTTAAGACTATATTTCTTCATATATATATATATATATATATATATATATATATATATATAAAACTTTTGTCCCTCTAAAATAGGATCGACTTGGCTATAATTATTTGCTGTTAACCCGATTCTCACCCACCAAGTTTGCAGGTAAACCAACGGAGAACTTCTGGAATTCTACGACCCGATAACTACTCGCCAGGAACAAAAATCACAACGTGGCTGGTGAGTGGAATTGAATCGACATTTGAAACTGGAGACTTAGCTCTAACCTGTAATACTAGACTAGGACCAACAGCCGGCCTTGCGGATGACGTCAGCCCAGTCGGGTGAGGATATGGTGTCACGTGGAGGCCTTGACCAGGGATCGCGTTACAACTGACACCGTGCGAGAATACAATTATACATTCAGTGGTCCGTTTAGTCTAAAATTTTGGCGACCACTGGATTGGAGAATAATAATATTATAGATTTATATTTACCAAACTTCCCACAAGTGTCGAACAATTGAAGTCACTAAACTTTGATCATCATCAGCATCATCATTTGTTAGTGCTCCACTCCATCTCACAATTGTGGTTCATGGTGACATTCAAGATAGAATAGTACAATGGGTTGCCAGTTTCTTTTTATAGCTGGGATGTTGAGGTTAACCCGTTCCTCCTCTCAGAATTTAAAGAAGCAAGACCTACAAGGCAGAAGGTGGTTTGAATTCAAAGTTTTTCTTCTCCACCCAAGATCTTCAGCTGTTTAACCCATAGCTGGGGGGAAGAGGTTGATTCATGCATTTCCCAGGGGTGTTAGCACGTAAGTGAATGCGATTGAACTTGACTGGAATTCGAACTCAGTCCGAGCCTCTTCGCAGTCTATAAAATGAGCTTGCTATCCTCTGCTTCATTGTGTGGCACAAAAAATTCTTTACAATATTTAACTTCCAACATGATAGAATCAGTTGACTTAAATAGACTCACTACAGTAGGAATGGCCGACTTCATGTATATGAATCTGACTTTATGATACACTGACTTCCATACACTTCATATGAAATAAAATCATTCTTTATAAGTATTTACTTAATTTGGTCTGGCACAAGGCCAAATATATTGATCACCCAACTAAAGATCAAAATCACTGCAATAGTAATGATCTACTAAACCAAATTAGTGAACACTATGCCACTGCAATCTGTCTATATTTGTTAAACTTAGTCTGGCACAAGGTTACATATGTGGAGCGCTGGATAAGGATCAAACTCGCTATTATACTAATTATTTGATAAACATGCTTGGTAACTGTTGCTCCTGGGTTGCAAGGCTTACGGCCATATCATGTCGAAACAGTGGTTCTCGTACGATCACCGAAGTTAAGCAACGTTAAGCTTGTTCAGTAACTAGATGTGTGACTGCTTCGGAATACCAGGCGCTGTAAATTTAGATGTGCAGGTGGTGTAATAGATAATGGCTCGGAATTGGAAATCATAGAGTCGAGTTTCAATTCCAGTCGGGTTCGTTATAATCAGTTACGCGCAAACACCCTTGGGAAAGGTATGAATCCGCCTATTCTCCCCCCACACCCCCCAGCTACAGGTTAATTAGTAGGACTAAATCATTATCTTCAAAAAGATTTTTACAATCTAATAAAATATTTTCTGTCTTTAAATAAGCTGAAAAGGGTTGATAAGTCGTAAAAAAACTCTCCATACAGTTTCAACAATATTTTATCACTCTTTTGTACCAATTACAAGTGCCGTCAGGAACAGTCATACTGGTGAGAATTTTTCAATTTATCAAATAAACGGAGAATTTATTCCTGAAACAAAAATATCCTGCCACTAAGAAAATTATTTGAAAAATAATAAGCGCACCCTACGAAAAAAGCCCTCCCTACCAAAGGTGAGGGTTAAATGAAATAATTTGTGACGGCAGTCGTTATCTACTGCCTTCTTTATCCCTTTTCATTTATTTTTCTAGCCCCTTTAATGATGTTTCTCTTTTTTTTATTATTTCACACTCAGTAACCCCCCCCCTTGCGTCTTAGTGGCTTTATTGCCTTACTCGAGGTTAAATGATTAAAAAGAAAAAAAAACTTATATCTGATAGGCAAGGATTCAAAATCTTGCTAGTCTCATTTTTTTTTAATTTCTAATTTGAGCCATACTCCTATACAGCAGTGGATGCTGAACAGTTTCCTCACAGATGAAGAGGAGACTTCAGGCAACAGAGATGTGATTCTACAGAAGGATACGAAGAATACCAAGGACGGAGCATGTAAGCAATGAGGAAGTTTTAAGGAGAATGTAAATATAAAGAGCACTTACAATCAGAAAAAGGAGACTTGATATTTCTAGAACACATTGAGGAAAGATGGTTTGGAAAATGTGACACTCACGGGCAAGAACAGAGACTGGGATGGATAGTAGGGAGAGAAATGTTCCTTGGTACTACAAAGGATAGCCATAGTCATCCACGGGCTGAAGGGACATGGCACATGAAAGAAGACGGTTTAGGCCAGTTGTCTAATTTTGAAGATCTTTTTAATTTTGTTTTTTCCCAAATAGTCATTGTCGTTTCGATGTAAATACCATTCCTACTTTCCGTCTGTATATTCTGAAAACGCGTAGCTTTAAAAAAAAAAGTAAATCAATGAAGATATTTGTCTTAGAATCAAAATTGATAGTTCATCATGTACCTTCTCTCAATTTCACAGAATCTCAAACTGGCAATCCCGACAACCAACCTTACACCATCAACGATTTCCCATCTGCAAATTCTCCAACCGTTCATATCCGGGAAGTTGTTTAGGCAGGAGTGGACGGAGAACCAAGCCTTTTCTTAATTGTCTCATTCTGGAAAACATTTCACAAAAATCTGCCAACCAAAACGTTTTAAAGAACAGAAATTCCCTCCAAACATAATCTATTTTTATTCATTTTTGGACAAGTTTGTCATTCATTTTCATTTCTCTTGATTTTTAGCAGATTGCTCAGATTATTTTAAACATTCTACGATCGTAAAGACATTAACGTGAATTCGAAATAAAGAAGAATCTACCCCTGAAATTTGAAATCACATCTGATATTCTTAAGAATCAATAAATAAAAAGAAATCCTAGTGAAAAATGAATAATAATTGACAAGGCTTCATGTAAGAAATTCAAATCTTATTCCATCTAATACTACTAGTGGAATAAAAAGCAAGAGAAATAAGATGAAAGAAATCCAAGTGAAAAATGAATAATAATTGACAAGCCTTAATATAAGAAATTCAAATCTTATTACATCTAATACTACTAGTGGAATAAAAAAGCAAGAGAATTAAAATAAAAAGGGCAACAAACTTTGTAACACTTATTTCCATTAACCGCCTTACTTAGGACTATTATAACAATTATAAGAAAGTAATGTAAAATAATTAAATGGTGAATATGTCGGAGTTAGCTCCTCCTTAATTCCCTAATTGTCACTAGGGGTCCCTCTCTTCATACTATAAATACTTGGCGACTTCTCGCCTCGTCCTCTTTCCTTCAGGCTTCGTGCCCGCATCCCACCTCGCGTGGAGGTGAGGTAAATCCTCTTTTTCATTTCTTCATTTCAGCGGCTACAATGTAAGCTCTCTTAGAAGATCTGCGTCTTCCCATTTGTGGTAGACGCCATCAACATTATACACACATACACGTACTTACGAACATTTACCAAAGAACAGACACCAATGTGTACACACACACAAATGCTATTGTCCATTGTAAAATTGTTTTGTTTAATACATATATTTGTTCATATATATATATATATATATATATATATATATATATATATATATATATATATATCTTCTTTGTCGTCATTATCTTCAGTTGGACTTAATTCAAGTCCGCCATTTCCGACCTTCTTCTCGCAGGAAAAATGTTTTCTTTTCATCTTCACCCCCGGTCCTTTACAAATATAAAATAATTAAAAATAATACAATACACTAAGTTTGCTTATTGCTCTGAGGGTTGAATGCAAAAATTTATATAAAAATGTAAATTAAATAAATGATTAGTAAACAAAATGTAGAAAAATAAATATAATTGTATAGATTTGTCTTCTACACTTGCTTTTAAGAGAAATTTTAAAAAAAGGCATAAGGTTAATAAAAAATTACCTAATTTGAAACATTTGTAATTTTCTAAAAATAGAATGCCTGTAAAAAGATCTGCCTAAAATGTCGGTCACAGACGAACTGTTTGTGATATAATTTTCAAATTTGAAAGAGATACATATCTTTGTATTTTTTATCAATGAAAAAGGTGGCTTCCACCCACGGAAATGGAATGTATTGGAGGACTATATAAGAAGACCAGTTAGCAGAAAATTTGAGGTATAAACATTTCAGAAGGTACAGAATGTGTCAAAATTTTGGAAGGCACAAAAAGTGTCAAAATTTCGGAAGGTACAAAAGGTGTCAAATTTCAGAAAGTACAGAAGGTGTCAACATTTCGGAAGGTACAGAGGGTGTCAAAATTTTGGGAGGTACAAAAGATGTCCAATTTCGAAAAGTACAAAAGGTGTCAAATTTCAGAAAGTACAGAAAGTGTCAAAATTTCGAAAAGTACAGAAGGTGTTAAATTTCGAAAAATACAGAAGGTGTCAAAATTTCAGAATGTACAACAGGCGTCAAAATTTCAGAAGGTGTCAAAATTTAGAAAAGTACAGAAGGTGTCAAAATTTCGGAAATACAGAAGGTGTCAAAATTTCGGAAGAACAGAGGGTGTGAAAATTTCGGAAAGTACAGAAGGTGTCAAAGTTTCCGAATGTACAAAAGTGTCAAATTTTGGAAGCTACAAAAGGTGTCAAATTTCGAAAAGCACAAAAGGTGTCAAAATTTCGGAAGGTGACGTAGGTGTCAAAATCTCGGAAAGTACAGAAGGTGTCAAAATTTCAGAAAGTACAGAGGGTGTCAAATTTCAGAAAATACAGAAGGTGTCAAAATTTCGGAAAGTACAGAAGGTGTCAAAATTTCGGAATGTACAGAAGGTGTCAAAATTTTGGAAGGTACAAAAGGTGTGAAATTCCGGAAAGTACAGAAGGTGTCAAATTCAGGAAAATACCGAAGGTGTGAAAATTTCGGAATGTACAAAAATGTCAAAATTTCGAAAAGTACAGAAGGTGTTAAAATTTCGGAAGGTAAAAAGGTATCAAAATTTCGGAATGTACAGTAGGTGTTAAAATTTCGAAAAGTACAGAAAGTGTCAAAATTTTGGTAGGTACAAAATGTGTCAAATTTCGAAACGTACAGAAGGTGTCAAAATCTCGGAAGCTACAGAAGGTGTCAAAATTTCGGAAGGTAAAAAAGGTGTGAAAATTTCGAAAAGTACAGAAGGTGTCAAAATGTTGGAAGGTCCAGAAGGTGTCAAAATTTTGAAAGGTACAAAAGGTGTCAAAATTTTGGAAGGTACAGAAGATGTAAAAAAGTGCTACAAGGTGATCCGTGGATGTATTAGGATGGTCAAGGACACATTCCAAAGCTGGGCAAAGTTTTGCGAGACAGGAAGATTTCTTTGGTAACAAAGAAAAGCGTAATGAGCTGTTACGTGATATCTGTCCTTCTTTACGGCGGCGAATGTTGGACGATTTTCTCAAAGATGAAGAAGAGACTCGAGGCGACAGAGATGTGGTTCTACAGAAGGATATCATGGACGGAGTGTGTGAGCAATGATGAGGTCTTAGAGTGGATGCAGACAAGTAGAGGGCTTATACTTAATATCAGAAAGAGGCAGCTGAAGTTTCTGGGACGAATAATGAGGAAGGAGGGCTTGGAGAATCTGAGACTCACGGGTCGAATAGAGGGAAAGAAAGACAAAAGAAAACAACGCGTGACATACTTGGCGGGCTTAAGCAACTGGATGACAGAACGTGGTCTGGGGGAGGGAGCCGAGAGAAGGAACTTGTTGAGAGCTGCAAGGAATAGAAGGAGGTGAAGAGCCATGATCGCCTACGTCCTGAAAGGACATGGCATATAAAAAGAAAAGATAGAACGTTTAAAACCGAATATACAAGAAGGTTACAAGTTACAAGGATATCAGAAGGAAACTCTATTTTGAATGTTATCTGTGGGTGAGCTGAACTGTTTCTTACAAAAGATGCAAACGAAGACAGAAACAGAAAAAGTATAAAAAATTTATTTTTACTATTTTAAAAAATGTTAACGTTCTATAAATATTTAATCGTCTAGATTGTTTGTTTTTTTTTGTTTGTTTTTTTTTTTTTTTTTTCAATACACGTTCTTTTGAGAGAAATGTATTTTTATGAAGGCTAGGCGGTTTGTGTTAAAAATTGTTATAACTGTATGTGTGTCTATATTTCTGAGATGTGGCATTATGTACACTTTACATTATTCGGACTATTGTCCTCATCTTTGTCGCCATATTTATTAGAACGTTTCGGCCCT